GCCCTGACTTTAGATTCACATTTAGGATTCAAAGACTGAGTCTAAACCAATATTTCATGTCCAAAAACTCTGGAATTTTTACGTCTTAATTTAACCAGTCCTCCTCTCCCCATTCATCCTTACTTTTCAGAAACATTGTTCAAACTATATCAAAACATAACTTTAATTATAAAAGTAACACAGGTGGGAATCCTCGAATTGTTTGGCTACCTTAATAACCCCAAAGAAAACATTTATTTTAGCCAAACAATTGTAATGTTTATCTCCTTTTAGAAACATCTGCTGCCAAAATAAATATTTACATTGAAAGAAGTGTTTTGGCTGTTAAGATGGTACACAATAAAATGCTTATGTTCTGAAATAAATATTTTACTCAAAAAACACACAGCAAAGTAGACATATCGAAAGGGTGTAGAAGATAAATTAAAGGCACAAATTAAAATACCTATTGATTTTTAAAGTCTTTTTCAAAAGAACCTCAGTTTTTATTTCAGTTTTATTTAGACTGAAAGTGTTAGGTTCAGATGGATCACCTTAACAAAAATAACTAATTTCTATTTAATTTTGCCATGCTATCTTTCAAAACAATTATATTCCATATTCTTGTTGTTGTAAAGGTTTTCACAACACAGATGTGTTTTTAAAAACTAATAAATGCTCTCTCATGAACGTAAATCTCTCACTTTGTCCTTTTTCCCTTTCCCTGGTTTTATAATGCCAACAGACATCACATTATACCAACATGAGCAACAAGGTAAGAATAGTTAAAATATCAAGCCAATAACTCTTGATAACTCAGAAAAAAATCTCCAACTACATAATTTGCTTGACACAAATAAATGTATGTCTTTGCTTCTGAAGCCTATTTCTCCTGGGTCTTATTTTGTTTATATGAAAAAATCTTGTTTAAAGCAAGTCAGCACAGGCCTATGTGTACATTTATGATCACAAGGACAAGAAAAATGAAACAAAACATTTGCTCACCCAAGTCCCTCATCCAGCAAAGGATACCTTGGTGTCTATGTTTTTTAAAATATCCACAAAACTAAGGAGTCAGATTTAGTAACCTTAAGATTATACATCTCCTGTGTAGCTCTGTATTAGATGAAATCACCCAGTGCGCCTTCTGTTAACTATCCCCAGGTTTGAATTCCAGGAGCCTACAGGCAGAACATTCTCCACAGAGGCATAGAAAATTCATTTCCCCTCTCAGCTCAATAAAAACCCAAGCAGACTAGTTTTGGGGGCACCGTGCAAAACTAATCTGTTTAGTCATGTATTTGCCTGATGATGTGGGAGAATCAGCAAGTAAAAGACCACAAATCTAGTTCCAGTGAATAAATACCAAAATAATGTACTATTATCATGTCATGCTTCAAAGACCCAATCATGAATATATTTCAAAAATAAAATTATCACCATACAAATCAAGAATCACCCGTTAATACTGAAATCAAACACTCAGTGGTCAGCTCCTCCTGACTCTGAGACAAAAAGCAAGCAGCGATACTATCCATGTTAAATTTCATATAAGCACTGCAGTTCTAACAGAACACTCATTTAAAATTCCTATCACAGAAGTGGAATGCCAGCCAGAAATCAAACTGTGACCCCTGAGCCAAAGACAACTTACCACTCAGCTGTTAAGTGGGCAACTCAATTTACAAACTTGAATTCCTGCATTTTAATCCTTTGCAGAAATATATGAGCAATATTAAATGAACTGGATTCAGCTCATTAGAGGTTCACAAACCAAACACAGAAAGCTTTGGAGGCCATCCAAAGCAAAGTCATGCCTAGGTGGTGATGTCCACTCAATAAAAACTCAATGTCATCATTATCTTTCAACTTTTTCCCTGAAGAACATTAGTAGCCATGACTACAACAATGCTCAGCCAGTTACATAAATGCTAGGAGAAGATGGATAGAACCAGCAGCCAATCACTGTGCCAGGATGTTATTTGTAATTATCCAAAGTTTATAATTATCTAAAATTCGCAAACAAAGCAACTCTGAAAATTCCTCACCAAGGAATACAGAGACTAAAGCTAACAGAATAAATGTGCTCTACTAACCTTTACCAAAACCTTCACTTTTTTGCCATTTCAAAGCTATTAATTGTCTACACCTAACTGATCACATGAACTTGCTGTGCTAAAAGCTGTGTGACCCCTTTAAAATGTTACACACATTCAAAAACGCTTTCAGCTACGGTTAGCCTTTGAGGTTTCAAAACAAGATACTATATTTCAAGGCTGTATTATAACTAATGAAAGGTGAAAAAGCAGTAAAGATTATTTAGAACTCTCCATCATGATGAACTCAGTAAGAAAGTTGGACACATTCCAGCTAGGGCATTCGGTTTCTAACCAGATACACTATTTCCCTTTCAATCATCAAAAAGATCTTTGCCTAATTAGAATCAGGCATTTCTCTTGGTTAGCAATAAAGTACCTAACCTAAAACCTTAATTAAAAATTTGCTGAGGGGCTGGCAGAGTGGCACGTTGGTTAAGAGCTGGCTTGGGATGCCAGTGGGCCCCAGTTCGGATCCCATATATGAGGGCCAGTGACACTGCCCTCTACAGCTAAGATGCTGAACAACAGCTCAACCTGGAGCTGGGCTGCCTTGAGGCAACAGCGTAGGCTGCAGCCCCTGTGGCAGTGGATTGCCATGGGCTACCGTGTGTAGCCAGCAGCCAGCGTGAGCGGCCAGCAGCCGCAGTGAGCAGCCGTCCAGAAGCCAGCGACTGATCTGCCTCGTCCGGGAAGAGCGCAATGATGGTGCCAACTTGGTCCAGTGAAGCAACGTCCTCCACAACTAGACTGAAGAACAAAATGACAGCAACTTGTCTGTTCCCCTTCCCCCAATTCCCCAATAAAAATCTTATATAAAAAAAAAATTTTGCTGAAATACTTGGTTGGTAATCTTCATCAATTTATCCCTTCAAATAAATCCAAGAATTACTCGATTTCAAAAGTTTGTAAGAACCATTGATTAAATAAAACCAAAAAGCTAAGAACACTGAGGTTACTCTATATATTGGTAATGTGTCCTCTACTTTTAGCCTTACATGTGTGGGAAGAAAATAATGGGGGGAATTCCGAGGTAATCATTCTTCATGCACCTTTCCATTGGTTAGATTTCCACTTTGGGACTGCAAACTAAGCCAATGTCAAAATCTTCTAAGAAGACTCTATCTAACTCATTCAGAGAAAAAGATAAAGGAGCATTCAGCCGCTTGCCATGAACAACAACTTCTAAAACAAGCTTCAAGTTTTACGTCAGGAAAATATGGTGGAAAGGAAGGTGCAGAAACAAGGAGTGGCCAGCATCTACTTCTCTCCACTAGTCCTGTTGCTTCTCACTGCCTTCCGGCCTCTGCCCTCTTCCCGTGGCCCGAGCACCACACAGAACTATCAGCCCCCAGTGAAATCAGCTATGGAGCCGAGTTAGGGTTTCAACAACTTAGCTGTCTGGGCCTTCTTCCCCTCAACTAGGGGCACATTAGCTTTAACACTAAAAAAGAGAAGAAAGAGAAAATCACAACTCTCACCTTACTTTTTTCAATCCTTTACAAATTATCTCCCTCACAATTAGCAGCCTTAATTAAAGATTTTTACTCCGCATAGTACAATATTGTTGGAAGAATGAAGTAATGTTGATAACACTAAGAGTACAATTAAGCACGTACTGCTCGACTTCTGAGTGACCATCTTTGATAAACAGGGGTAAGAACGTCCAACAATAATGAAGGCCATGCATGGAGTCAAAGGCTGAGCTACTTCTCTTTCCCTACAACCGCCTGGAAATAAAAATATTGCCCAAGGAGAAACAAAGATAAAGAGGAAAGACAATATTCAGTCTCTGAAAGAAAATGCTCAGAGGCGACTTATTCATGAACTTTTAGTACACAGCTATGCAGCATGTAAAAAGTATGACTGACATATCATTCTCCACATCTACTTTACAGAGAAGTTCTATCCAATTTTTTTACTTCCACAAACAATTTTTGGTCAAACATAGTGAAGAATTTCCTGAGAGGAAGAACTGTAGAACCCTGGAATGGGTTACTGGCAATGCTGTGGAAACCCCTACCTGGAGGCAGTAAACAACTGTCCAGGGCATGAGCCTGATGCGCCCACCGGGGTGTAAGGCAGCGGGTGGAAACTTATAAATAAGCCTTCTGGGGTTCCTAGTAACTAACCACCCTAACAAGTCTGAGTCTGATTTACTCTTTTCCAAATTTCATGCTTCCTCAGGCCAACATAACAAGGATACACTCTCCAGTATGTATACAAGAGGCTGTAGGTAGGTGCTCGTTTCAGGTAACTCCCAACTATTTGAATCTAGAGAAAAATATTGGGTCTTTTTTTTATTTTTTTTAAGAACAGGAAAAGTCTTTTTGGTTTGAGTAAAAACAGAAAATCCATCAAAATCTAAGAAAACAGATACACACCAAATCCTCTTACATGAAATACAGAAACCTTTTTCAAAATGTACAGAACAAATAATATGTTAAGAAATAAAGGCAAAATAACTTTTTGGGAGACTAAAAAAAATTTTTAAGTTGATGCCCTCTTCATGAGGAAGACCTTTAAATAACTTAAAACTTCGCCTTAAGAAGTCTATTCACAGCTAAAAAGCTGACACAGTCTGACACCAGAAATGTTAGAAAGCCAAATTCACTTTGTGGCTCAGATCTATATAATTTGCTGCAAAATGATGACACAGTACATCTTTCAAATACAGCTGGTAACACTGGCCTTTTACCAAACAGGTATTTTGTCCACTTTGTTCTAAAAAGCTCACTTTTCTTTCTTTAAAAGACGAGGTGGGGGGGATGGTGCCTGTCATTATTTGAAGAAACTGAAAATTAAAACAGAAAATCAGTGAAATGCCCCCTAATTCTCTCAATACCAATCTTAGGTTGACAGTAAAAGACAAAACTATCCCCAATTAAAGGAGGGGAACGGGGAGGAGTGAAAACCAGCACCGACCTGCTGCTGTGGGTACTGCATTCCTGCCATGGCCCCTGGGCTCCGGCCTTGGATGCCGATGGGATACCGCTGTGGGCCTGGTGGGCCATAGGAACCTCCCGGGTAGGGGCTGCTCTGCTGAGGCTGAGAATGAGGGTTGCTGCCCATCCCATACAACTGAGGTCTCTTCATCACCATGGGGTCCATTGGGCTGCCCTGTGAAAGAATAAATGAAGAAGTGGGCTTATTAAGTCATTATTACAAAGGCAGAAAGCTTGCTATGTTGACACATACAATAAAAACACAACTATCCTTTTGTATTAAAAACAATGATCTAACAAATAAAAACCCAGAAGAACATTAAGGAAAAAAACCTAGGTGGATATAAGACATTTTATTTTTTTTTTACTTTTAGGAAGGTTTTAACAATTAAGAGGGATCTGGAGTAAGCAACGTTAAGATTCTGCATCCTAAGCGGAGAGAAAACATTTGCATGTAAAATTCTACTGCATATAGAAAATGAGCACGACAGGAAGTCTCACCAGCTCCTTTGAGCTTACTAGTGGTAACAGAAGCAAAGGACATCGAGTAGTTACAAACACTTTCTGACTTCAAAGTATTCTTGGAACAACTACTTGATTTTAGACCTGACTCTGCAAGTCCTTATCAAACATTAATGCATCTGAGTGCTCATTAGAAAGTGAAAGGATAGATTTTAGATAATAATGTCTAGAGTGAAAATTTTCAAGATCACTAGTGCGCATGAATAAACAAGCACCCAGACTATGAGTCACAAGCCACCTTCCCTATGTAAGTAAGCATCTTACCAAACATAACCAGTTCAAAACTAGACTTGGAGTTTTATTTTTGGCTTTAGTGAGTCAGCCCATGGGCCTCAGGGCCAAGGTCACCGGGGAGAGCCAAACGGAGCTTCAGCCTGGGCTTTCATGCCCTGGGTACTTGGAAGGGGCAGAGTGGTAGGGAAGTCCCTCGCCACAGTGCTAGAGGCCTGCAACACTCATCCGACATGTCAGTCGGGTCTTTGGGTCTGTCTGTCCGTCCTCCCTCCCTCCCTTCTTCCCTTCTCTCCTCCCTTCTTTCTTTCCAAAACAATTTATTGATCCCTATGTGTGCCAGACTCTATCTATGTTCACACTGAGTACATGGGGATTCTCGGGAAGGCCTGAGGATTCGCAGAACAAATAGGAAGACCCAGGTTCAAGGTGGGGAGGGGCAGGGTGTGGAATACCACACAGCAGAAGAAACAGCATAAAGCACAGGCTCCAAGGTGATGAGCCGCCTGGTGTGTATGAGGGAACGTAAGCAGTTTAGATCTAAATGAAGCAGGAATTTGCAGAGAAGCAGCAGCTGAGGGAGGCAGAAGCCAGTCCATGGGTGAGCCTTACATGTCATTTTAAAGGCTTCAGATTGAGCCTTGGGGATAAACCACCGGGTGCTTTAACAGAGAGCTACAGTCAGATCCGCCTCTCAGAAGGCTGGTCTCTCAGGCAGCTAGCTGAATGGTGCCAGGGTGGGTTGCCACCGCGGGCAGAGGAGCTGAGGTCCTGAACTGATAGCAGTGGTGGAAGGAAGCAAGCCCCGACTCAAGTTAACAGAATGGAAATACAGCTCAACTTGGAGAAAGGCTGAGTGATGGAAGACGGGAGTTGAGGGTGGCTTAACAGGTGATAAGACGGCAACTGAGACCAAGCGTGCAGGGGCAGACGCAGATCAACCCTCTCCCGGGAAGTGGGGGCCTTCAGTATTCTATATATTAAATTTGAGGTTCCTATCCGAGATCCAGGTGAAAGTACCAGAAGAAAGACACACAATGAGCTTCCAGCTTGGGGAGTCAGGTCTGACCTAGAATAATAAACAGGGACATCAGCATACAGAGGATATATGCTCCCGGAGGGTAGCGAATTTTTTGTTTTACTCACTATTATATCTCTAGGACATAAGTCAAACTGCACAAGGCACATAATAAATGCTCAATAAATTACTGAATGAATTAATCAATGCGACACATGTAAAAACTGAAGAATTTTATCCGGAAAGAATATATGAAAAGAGAAGAATGGGTGGAGGACAAAATTGTAGAAAATATCACCACTTAAAGGAGAATGGAAAAGAAGAGCCCACAACAAGGCCAAAAAAATAGTGAGAAAATGAACTTAAGAGTCTAGAGAGTGTGGCATTATGGAAGAGAAGGGAGTCCTGTGGCGCAACCAAACAGTCATGCACAATGCAGCCCAGGTGTCCAACAGGTGAGGCATAAAGCTTTTGTTATACTTGATGACAGGACGAGGCCATTGCTGAGCTTGGTAACAGCAGTCTCATCACAGAGGTCAGGGCAGAAACTGGAAGACCGGGAACTGGGGCACGAATGGGACGCAAGAGAGGGGAGCCAGGAGTGTAGACTCCAAACCCAAGCTGAGGAAACTAAGCACTGCCCATCCTCAGGGGGTCAAATATATGGTGACGGAAAGAGATCTGACTCTGGGTGGTGAGCACACAATGGGATATACAGATGGTGTATTACAGAAATGTACACTTGAAACCTAGGTAATTTTACTAACCATTGCCACCCCAATAAATTTCATTTAAAAACTTTACTTACAATAAATTGATGAATAAAAAAAAAAATTAAAAAAACAAGGAGCTGCCAGCCCTCCCTCCCACCTACACCCCAACCCAAGGCTGCATGTAGCCTTTGGCCTTCTTCCTTCTCGGGGTTACTCTGGTGCTCATTACTCTAGTGCTCATTTTAATGTGTTGATTATTCCATTCACCACACGTTTACTAAATATCTACTATGTGCACTTGCCAGACGCTGGAAGCATCAAAATAAGTGTCGGCTGCTGACCTGGAGAAGACTGAACAAAGATTTCAATGGCCTGCAGGAGACACCTGACTGGACACACAGGCCCTGTGACGGGGGGTGGGCACCTGACTGGACACACAGGCCCTGTGAGGGGGGGTGGGCACCTGACTGGACACACAGGCCCTGTGAGGGGGCGTGGACACCCTGACTGGACACACAGGCCCTGTGGGCGGGGGGGGGTGTACCTCAGTCAGCCTGTGGTGGGTTTTAACAAGCCTTCCTGTAGGAAATACCTGAGCTCCGTCCTGAGGGGTTCATGGCACTTTGCCAGGAATTGAAATCACCTGAATGACAATGTGTATAGGCCAAACAGTTCTGCTCAAAATTCACAATTTCATGAAATTTTAACTGTATTACTTCACCAGTCAAGGAAAACTTTGTACTTAACATTGACAAAATTGCTCAAACGATATACTGATGTCACACTACACGTTCTGACTTTGCAATTCAACATACAAACATACATGCTAATAGATATATTGTAAAACTAAAATCAAAGGCTAAGAATTAAGTTTCCCCAGAATGATTTAAATTAATTAGAACTTATGACCAAAGAAACAAATTATAATTCTTTCCCACACTTCGTTTCAAAAGCTAAAATAAAACTTTCTATGAAAGTGTGAAAATCAAGGTCGAGTTGGTAATTTCAAAATCCTCAGAGTGAATGAATGGCCTACAGAGAAGCTGAGTAAATCTGATTTCAGGCTAAATTTCCAATGCAGGACCCTGCGGCAGCCCTATCTTCACATTCAATCTGGATTCGCCAGAGCACAGGAAAGGTCTGTTTATTTCACTTTAAATAATGCACAACCAAAACTGGCTTAATTCAAGCAGAAATTTAAAATAGGAAAATGATTGGAATGTCTACATTTTAATGCTATAGATAACAGGGAACAAAATTCATCTTATCAGTGACTAACATTGTTTTCTACTATCTATCTCATCACTGCCATAAACTCTCACAGTTCTACTGAAAATTCAGTTAATTTGCACCCATGTCAAAAATGTGAGCTTAACCCTGAGATTTCTGAAAATCGAAAGCATGAAATACACAGATTATCTATACCTCTCAAAATGCATCAAATACCTTTCAGTAAGGCTTCAGACATGAAAACAGATACTTACACTGTGCAAATTATTTAATTTTAACCTTCTCTCCAATGGCTTATTATTAAATATTCATCCAGAATCCAAATTCATCCCGCTGTGTACTCTTGCTATTTTTAACATTAAATATGTACAACTGCAGGATCAACCCCTGCGTTTTACCAGTATCTCCTTAAAGAAACCCAAGACCAAATCAAATCTAAGACTTTTCCAAAAAACCATAAAAGCCAAGTCACTTCTCATATGCACATCTAACCTCAAACAATTTTCTATTTTTATCATCTACCCTTGTGTTGATGTATTCCAAAGAATCACCGCTTTCATTGCCACATAAAATGTATGCTGTATCAGAGACATCGTCCACATTAACAACAGTCCTCAAATACTTCTCGCAGTGTATCATTCCAAACGTGTTTTTTCTTTCTATTGTAGATACCATTCCACAACTGCTGTAGTTTGAGCTTCAATTACATTTTTTTTTTAAGTACGTATTTAGAAGGCCACACTATGAACCACCCACTTTCAAGGAGCTCTTAACATAACTAGTCTAGCTTTAGTTACTCGGCTTCTGATGCAATTTTATTCCTTGATTATTATTCCTCAAATAAGTTTTTGGAAATATATGTATTAGATATAAAGCACACACACACACACACACACCTATGTATGTATGAGTTATACACCACCACCACCACCACCACCACCACACACACACACACACACACACACACACACACACACACCCTGGATCCCCCTCTGGGAAGCTGCCACTGCAGCCTGTATCCTCCGAAGGCCTCAGAAGGTTTCCCATCCCTAGGACCACTAAACAGGGAGGAGT